GGTTTTTTTCACCATAAAATCAAACTGCTCTTCTCCTACCCTGACTCTAGCCAGGCAGGAGGCTGCTCTAGAGAGAGGCTTGGGGCAGACACCAGGGCACAAAGATACAACGCACCACTGGAACGAGATCAGAATATCTGCCACAAGGTATCACTGGGCTCTGTTTGACCACATACTCTCTCTGCTATACCAGGAGCATTCTGGGTTTTTGCACTCAAAGGGCTTTGCATGTCATAGGCTATGGAAAGCAGCTCTGGAATATTAAAGCACTACATTTACTTTCAGGATGTCTATTACCGGCATTCTGCAAGTGAAATAAAGGAAAAGCCTGTCTCAAGGAAGACTGGAGACACAGCCAAATCAACGTGCACTCATCTTCATAGTTCAGATTTTCTCCAGTTGGGCTGAATTATGATCTTTGGGGGCTGCTTCTTCTCTTGCTGAGTCTGGCAGTCTCAACATCAAATCCAGATGAACCTAAAACAGCCAGGGCTCTGGGTTGATGGCCCCAAAGCTCCAGCTGAGAGCCTGGCACCACGCCTCGCCCGACAGCAGCGTCAGCTCATAAAGGAAAGCAGACCCCACGTTCCATCTTTGTGTGACACCTCATTTAAACCCGACTGCTCTGCTTTTGTGTGACTTGATGTTATTTATTCCTTAGAGAGGGAATGAGTGACTCACAAGATCTTGTGATGCAGAGAGCCTCTCGCAGAACTAGGCAGATGGCAAGTGGAGAGCTGGGACAAGAGAAAGGATGACAGGAGGGTGAGGGTGGTCTTGGTCCCTCTGAAGTCATCAGAGGTGCCCACCCCCACCGCCCCCAGGAAACCAGCCAGAGCCCCTTTTACTCAGCAGGTGGTTGTGAGTGAGCCTGGAGCATTTTTAATCCCCCCCATCCCCCCCACCCCTGCCCACCGAGGGCCAGCTCTCCGGCCAATCACACTGCACAGTGCTTTCTTCCGGCACCCCCACTCTGCTTGTCTGGGTCCCCCTACCTCCCTTCCTGCCCGAACTTCTTTCTGTACTTCTTCTTTTTTTTTTAAATATTTTATTTATTTATTTGACAGAGAGAGAGACAGCGAGAGAGGGAACACAAGCAGGGGGAGTGGGAGAGGGAGAAGCAGGCTTCCCGCTGAGCAGGGGGCCTGATGCGGGGCTCGATCCCAGGACTCTGGGAACATGACCCAAGCTGAAGGCAGATGCTTAACCGACTAAGCCACCCGGGCACCCCTTCTTTCTGTACTTCTGTCTCTTGTTCTGTTACCTGTTTATGGGTCTCTTCTGCCCAGTGAGGCTTTTGATGACATACGTATTGCAGAGGTTAAGATCATGAATCTGGAGCCAATCCACAGGATTCAACCACTGAATCCAGACTGTGCCAATTCTCAACTATGACCTTGGTCATGTTAGTCACCTTCTCTGGGTCTCATTTTTCTTGCACGTAAAGTTGGAATGATAACATCTATTTCTCAGGTTGTTTAAAAGGCCCTACAGGAATCTCACGTTTATGTGGATTCCCCATACATATGTAATGAAATTTTATGTTCTCCTGTTAAATACTTGATTAACTCATTTCATTAAAGGCCCTGCAACCATTTTGTGAAAGAAGGAAGGAGAGAAAAAAGGTGAAAAAGGAATCGTGGGGCCCTTGAAATAAAGGACCAGGTATTATTCATTTTTCATTCTGTGCCTCATTAAATTCATTTATTTGTTCCTGAGTTCATGCAATGTTCCAGTTACTGAATGAAATCAGTCCCTGCCCTCAAGGAGACCACAGTCAAGAGGTGAAAATGAATGACATCAGTAGTTGTAACACGGTGTGATGGCAGCTGAGGGACAGCTGGGTGGCATTGCTTGGAAGCACATGGCTCCAGAGCCTGGGTTCAAATTCTGGTCCTCTCACTTCTTGGCTATGTGATCGAATAAGTTACTAGCACCTCTCTCATGGGACTACTGCAAGGATGGAGTTAAAAGATGAAGAGAGGATGCCTGGGTGGCTCAGTCGTTAAGCATCTGCCTTCGGCTCAGGTCATGATCTCAGGGTCCTGGGATCGAGCCCCGCATTGGGCTCCCTGCTCAGTGGGAAGCCTGCTTCTCCTTCTCCCACTCCCCCTGCTTGTGTTCCCTCTCTCGCTGTGTCTCTCTCTGCCAAATAAATAATTAAAATCTTAAAAAAAAAAAAAAAAAAAGAAGAGAGACCAGAAGAGAGCCTGGCATAGAGTGTTGAATACATGTTAGTTATGAGTATTAAGTTTATAGGCATATACATGCATTATACATATATATGCGCACACACATATGCATAATAAGCACCCATTGCTGAGTGCAACGAGAGCACAGAAAGTGGGAAAGTAAACTTGAGTCTGGTAGGGCTGCCAGGAGGAGGTGACCCCCAGGCCCAGTCTTTAGGAATGAGTGAGAGAGGGGTGGAGAAGCAGAGGAAGGCTGAGATGCCAGCACAGAAAAAACAAAAGCGTGAGAAGAGAGAACATCAGTCACGCCCCCGGGGGAGTGGGGGGGTGGCACAGATAGATGTGCTGGAGACTCAGACAGGAGCTGAATCACCCAGGCCCTGCTAATGAATTTGGATCTTGCCTAAGGCCAGTGCAGGGCGATGCAAAGAGTTCAAGCTGGAGCCTGCTGTGAACATTTTGGCACTTTCTAAAATACCACATTTTTCATAGCATTAGCTAGCCATAATCTACTGTGGTCATGATCCTGAAGCCCCATAGGATGCTGAAGCAAAGCCTGAAAAAGGACTCTGCTCAGTGTTATATTCTTCTAGGGCCAAAAATATTTTACTTTATTCTAATTCTTTGGGGAATGATAAATTCTTTGTGGGAAGGATCCACGTTTATTTTATCTCTACAATCATCTAGAATAATATGTAAGTACATCAGATGTGTCCAACAAATACTAAGTAAGAAATTCATATAATCCCTGCACATTATATATATATTGGTAATTCCTAGTTATTTGAGGCATTTAACTGACCATTCTGATGGAAAGTGGCAATGAAGGTTGGGACATGGACTTGATTTTAGCAAGATGTTAAAGGACAAATGGCCCTAGGGTATTTGTGGGAAGTCAGACTTCCATGTAATAGGGAGGCTGTTCGTGTTTTTTAACAAAACCAGTTAGAAACTCTTCCTTTCATACCACAAAAATGGCAGAGGGTTACTTCTGACTTCTGGTAACACAGTGTAAAACTAACGATAGAATGATAACCTCTTTCACTTGGAAAGGAAAAGGGGGTGAAAAGAAACTGGTAAATCGCAAAGAGTAATGTGGTCTGGGGGATCTACCAGGGAACACCGAGCCTCCAAAACAACAGTATCTTGACACACAGCCTTTGAATCCAGGCTCATTCATTCATTCATTCATTCCGCTGCTATTTTGGAGCCCCTCCTATATCTGACATGCCAGGTATACAACAATGAACAAAACAGTTATCATCAGGTTCTGTAGCTCAAGAACATGACACTGAGGCAGAGCAAACAGGCTTTAAAAAAAATAAGCTCAATAATAAGTATATAAGAACAACGCATGATAAGTGTTATGGAAGAAAACAACAGGGCATCCTGTTATGAACGCGAAGGGAGACCTACTTTCGTCTGGGTGGGGGTCAAGGCAGGCTTCCCAAGGAAGAGTCAGAGAAGGATGAGTAGGAAAAAGCCAGGACAGGCCTGATGAGGAGGGGCCTCCAGTGAGGGGGAGGCTCCATGCCAGGCCTGAGGGGGACAGAGCTGAGTGAACTTGAGGAACAGAAGGAAGAGAAGGAGTGGAGGAGCCAGCAAGGGGTGAGCAGTGTGGAGGGGCTGAAGCCAGGGGCATAGAGACCAGTTAGGATTGTAGGAAATGGTGAGAAATGATGGGGGCCTTCTATTTGACTTACAACCTGTCTTCCAACTCAACACACTCCCTGAGTCCCAGCGCCCCTATCCCAGGGAAGAATCTCAGTTGAGGTGGGGGTGAGCGAATTAGATGACAGAGGCACCCAGCAGCTTCGCCTCCTGTGTCGGACCTTGGGAGTGGCAGGAAACACACATGGACAGAGAACAATAGAAAGAGAAGGCTTGGGACCCAAACTGACCTGGCTTTCACTCCAAACTCCCAGTGTGGCCTTGCACGGCTCAATCTATAAAATGAGGATAACGATACTCTAAAGTTTGTAAAAAGGAATACATGGGGATGGGTGAAATGGGTGAAAGTGGTCAAACGGTACAAACTTCAGTTATAAAATAAATCATGGACATTTAATGTACAGCATGGTGACGACAGTTAATAATATTGCATTGCATATTTGAAAGTTGCTAAGAGAGGGGCGCCTGAGAAACATGCAACTCTTGATCTCGGGGTGGTGAGTTGGAGCCCCACCTTGGGTGTAGAGATTATTTAAATAAATAAAACTTAAAAAAAAAGTTGCTAAGAGAGTAGATCTTAAAAGTCTTCATTACAAGAAAAAGAAAAAAGACAAAAAAATTGTAACTCTGTATAGTGAGGGATGTTAACTAGACTTATTGTGATGATCATTTCACAATGTACACAAATATCTAATCATTATGTTATACATCTAAAATTAATACAATGGTATATGTCAATTATACCTCCAAAAAAAAAAGGCTTGGCTATAAGTGAAAGTAAACACTTGACCTCCGGAGGGCGTTCAGTAGATGGTTGTTGCCATTTTTGGGGGACAAAGGAGTTATCTGAACCACACCGAGGAGGTAGAACCTACCAGGTGTCAAGACTCCGGAGTGAGGGGGAGCCTCCAAGAGCCGGATTTCAGCCTGAGCAGTTGCGGGTGGGTGCTGATGTCACCCATGGAGACAGGAACCGCAGGCAGGGGTGGGGTGCGCTTGCTGAGCGAGCCGAGGGGCGGAGCAAGAGGAGGAAGCCGGGGCCAGGGCAGCTGCGCAGGAGGCGAGCCCCGGGCGGCGGGGAGAGGGGAGTGGGGACCCCGCGGCCGCGAAGCGCGGGGACGGCGCTGGGCGGCGGGAGCGGTCCGGCTGCGGCGGCCATCGCGGAAGGACGCGGGCTCCGCTCGGCTCGGCGGGCGCCGGGGCGCGGCTAGCCCCGGATCCCTACCTGCGCAGGTGAGCCTCCCCGGGTGACAGCGGGAGGCACGGCGAGGAGCCGGGGGCGGGGACGGGATTCCTGTGCCGCTTGACTGCCGGGGTCCTCAGGCGCGGGGGATCCAGAGTCGCCCCTGCCAATCCCTCCTGGCCTGGCGCAGGTTCCGGCCCAGGTCGGGCAAGCGGGGCGGGGGGGCTTGGGGTCGTGCAGGCGGCCTCAGTCAGGCTGGAGATGGAGCAGACTCCTGCCGGCTGATTGCCGGATTCCCTCCCCCGCCACCAGAACGTGCGGTGACCCCGTCCTCATCCTGCTGCGGGCCTCCCTCCCCCTGCCCAGGTGTCGGCGCTCCTGCAGCCCCGACCACTGAAAAAGTGAAGGGACCCCGACCCAGACCAGAGCACGGTGGTGGGAGCTGCACTCGGATGGCATGACGCTCCCAGGAGGCTTGCTCAGATGTGGACTGGTGATTCACGGGGTGCGAGGGGGCCTGACCACCAAGGCGGAGACAGGGTATCTTTGCTCTCGGATTTGAGGCAGCGGCCTAACGCCTGAGCCAAGATTGTCTACTTGGGCTTTAGGTCAGCAAAGACTTCTGGAGCTCCGCAAGAAATAGTCAATCTGAGGGCAAAGCTGCCCTCTACTTACTGCTCATAGGCTCACTAGGTGCAGGGTGCTGAGCGGGGGCTTTATGGACCTCATCCCTCATCTTCATCCCTCATCTTCATCCCTCATCTTCATTCCTCATCCTTGCAACAGCCCCTCAAGCCCCTTGCTGTGTCCATTCCCCCCACTTAACAGGTGAGAAAGCTGAGGCCACAGACACCCTAAGTCACTGGCCCCAAAGCACAGGGCTGGCAAGGAGTAGAGTCAGGATCTGAATTCAGATCTCTGATTTCAGGACTTTGCACTGTAGGGCATCCACATGCTGCCTCTGTAATGGTCCCCTTGGTTCATATGCCTGGCAGTTTAGTAGCAAACAGAACTGGGTGTGACAAGATGTTCACTTTGCAGGGAAATCAGTGGTAGAGAGGCCAGGGCTGCGGAGTGTAGTGGCCATTGTTGGGGTGAGGGGTGGGTTGGGAGGGTTCATGGTCCACCTGGAAACATGCCCGTCATTGCCAAATCACAATTCTGAGCCATGTGGTACCAGTAATTCATTCTCTCCTTCAGAAACTCCCACCCCTCTGTTATCAACTATACCTTCTCAGTCATTTCCTTGGCCTGTTTTGTTTCCTTTTTCTTCTCTTGTCGGTATTCCCTTGGCCTCAATGTTCACATTTTCCAATACTCTTTGTAGACAATTTTACTCATGTTTCTTGCTTTACCTGTCATCTTTATGACAGCAACTCCCAAATTCCTCTTCCCTGACTACCCCTAATCTGTAACTCCAGACCCAAATTATCAAATATTCTAATTCCTACTGGCTAATTCCAGTGTATGCCCCCACAGGCATCAAATCCCATGTTTCCAAACTCAAATTTATCATCTCTGTCCTTCCCCACGGTCTTGGTTCGGGTCTCCTCAGTTCCTTGGCTGGACTGTTACAGCCCTTCCAAACTGGTCTTCCTGCCTCTGGAGTCCATCCACCCCTTGAAAGCTCAAGAGTCTTAGTTTTTGGTGCCTTCAGAACTGACCAGAGAGAATAGACCTTTCTTCCTCTCCTAACTTTGTACCCTGTACATACCTGCAAAGGAGCCCTTTGCATGTTGGATAACTGCTGACTTGTCTGTCTTACCCCTTTAGACCAGGAGTTCCTTCAGCACCGATTTGTCTTTGCTCCATCTTTGTATTCCCTGGCCTGGCACATAATAGACACTCAATAAATATTTCTGGTAGTTAGTGCCCTTGTCATGAATTGAAACTTTTTTTAGGGCACAATTTTTAAACTGTACATAGTGTGTCATTTCGCTGCACTCTAAATCTGATCTGTCCCCATGGTGAGTGAATTTGTGTGTGTTGGTGGGGGAGGGGCATTAGAACATGAGTTTACAGGCGGTTGGAGATTAAGACTAATGACACAATCAAAGTAAGTTTTCCAAATTGGTGAGTTGAATTTTTAAGGTTGATAGAAAATTCAGCCATAGTGACTGAATAGTGTGACATAGTCAGCACAGTGAGTCCTTCTACTTTCCTTAGACACCGAGTCCACGAGTAAGCTGAGTGCACTCACCAAGAAGAGAAGCAAGGACAAAGTCACCATGGCTTCAGTGTCTACTCACGGAAACCAAGATAAAGGCCACCATTTGCCACCACCAAGCAAGCAGGTATATTTTTAATTCGGAAGTCTGCCAACTGAAGCGGAACACATAGGACTTTCCTTAAGCTTCATCCTTGAGCAGTCATCTTCCTGTTTTCAGTCTAGCACTTTGTTGGATGGGTTCAGAGACAATGGGATGGGGAAGGAAAGTATTTTTTTTAGCTTCCTTGAAGAAGAGCTTTAAAATTTTTATTTATAAAATCCTTCCTTTACTCTTCCCTGTTTAGAATCCAGCCTAACTAACTCTTATGTAGGCTGTCAATGACTGAAGAAGTTTCCTATAGCAGAGAAACACTCTTAATTGAATCTAACAGAATGATACATCATGCTTGTTTTTGCATTGTTGTTGCCAAGGCTAGTCGTACTAAGTATATGCTGCTGACAGGCGTTCCTTAACTACTAAATTAGCAATCAGACTGAGAACCCTAGTGTTAATAGGAGCACAGTCTTTCAAAGAGTGAAGAATGAATATTATATGTTTTGGGGACACATACACGAAGCAAAGAGAAAGTATCGTGATGGGTGAAGGGAGTTCATGTCCTCTAGTGTCAACTTTTCCAACTAAAAATGGTTTCATGAAGGAGGTGATGTTTAAGGAGCAAAGATTAGGAGAGGCAAACAGATAAATGGTATCAAGTCACAAGGAAAAGAGTGTAGACAACCGAGTTGCCTTTGAAATAGAGAGCCATGAAACATTTATGGCTACACAGGAAAGGATCACCAGAACTCCTCCGGGGAAGACTATGCAGAAGCATCAGCCTTGACTGGAGGACTCACAGCAATTGTAGTGGTCAGGGTCCCTGGGGTGGTCAGGGTTTGGGGCAGAGGAGGGAAGGAGGCGTTCCCTACCTCTGCCACAGCCACAGGCAGAACCAAGAAGAGATATTTACAGGGGGATGAGGAGTGCTTGCTGAGGAACTAAGGTGAGTGGAGAGGGAGAACAGCTCCTCTTGTGGCTGTGACTCATCCTGACCACCATCATCCGTGTGCTGTGCTATAAGGAGTTGTAAAGAAAGAAGATGGAGGTTTGCCTCCTTGAGCTATTAATAGAACCCTGAAGGCATAGATGCCACAGGGTCCTTCCACCTTGTCATCAGGCACGGAAAGTGCTTGGCACAGTGCCTGGCCCGTGGGAAAGTGCTCTAGAAATGGTGACCATCATCCACATTGACAGCTACTACAAAGGGTCCAAAAAAAGAAAACTGGCAAAATCAGCAAGGCAAAACTCAAAAGCCAAAGAGCTGCCCTCAAGAAAAACACTAAATATCCAAGAGGTAAATGGCAGAGGTCCTACATAAATGAGTCACAATCAAGGAAATACAAGTGTGACTTGTATAGCAAGGAACAAATTAAATAAAATTTGTTTTTAAAAAAATGAATGAATCACCCAGAGATGGAAAAAATTATTTTCAAATCACGTATCTGATAAGGGTCTAGTATCCACAATATACAAAGAGCTTTGACAGCTCAACAACAGAAAAACAGCCCAATTTAAAAAATGGGCAAAGGACGTAAATAGGTATTTCTCCAAGGAAAATATATGAATGGCCAACAAGCAAATGAATAGATGATCAATGTCATTGGTCATTAGGGAAATGCAAATCAAAACCACAGTGAGACACCATTTCACAATCACTAGCATGACCATAATTCAAAACAGAAACCATTTAGCTTATTTAGCTTAAATTAACTAGATAATTTATATTAAAAAATTTAATGTGCTAATTTGAAAAGAACAGAAACAAAAGAGAAAACGAGAAGTGTTGACAAGAATGTGGAAAGATTGGAACTCTCCTACTCTGTTGGTGATCATACAATGGTGCAGCTGCTGTGGAAAACAGTTTGGCAGTTCCTCAACAAGTTAAGCATAGAATTACCATATGGCCCAGCAGAATTGAGAACGGGTGTTCAAACAAAACTTACACATTCACGTTCAGAGCAGCTCTATTCACAATAGCCAAAAGGTGGAAATGACCCAAATACCCATCAGTAGATGACTGGATAAACAAAACGTGGTATATCCATACAACAGAATATTCCTGAGCCACAAAGAGGAATGAATTACTGACACATGCTACAACGTGGATGAACCATGAAAACATTATGCAAAGGGAGAGAAGACAGCCACAAAAAGAAACATAATGTATGATACCACTTACATATCCATACAGACAGAAAACAGATTAGTGATTGCCAGGGAGCTAAGGGTTGGGGGGAAGCAGGAAATGAGGAGAGGCTCCTTAATGAGTATGGAATTACCTCTTAGGGTGATGAAAAAGTTCTGGAACTAGACGGGGGTCTTGACTATACAACACTGTGGAGGTACTTAGTGCTGTGGATTGTGTACTTTTAAATGGTTAAAATGGTAAGTATTGTGTTTTGTGTATTTTACCACAATGAAAAAGTGGTATACCAACGTATAACACAAGATGACAGCCCAGGTTAGTTGAGGGATTGCCTCAACATTCGAAGAGAAGGGCATTCTGGCTGAAAATATGTAGATTTCTCAAACACATTAGTTATCAGAGAAATGCAGATAAGAATAAAATATTACATTGTACCTATCAGACTGTCAACATTTGGAAAACTGGATAATGCCAAATGTTACAAAACCTGTCCTTTAACCTGCTTCGAATCCAGCTTAACTAGCTCTCAGGCAGGCTCTGTAGGCATAGAGGAACGTTCAGGCCCTGCTGTTGTGAGTGGATACAGCCTTTGGGGAGAGAACTCCAGCAAGACTTAGTCAAATCGGGAACACATGTGTCCTCTGTTTTACTTCTCGGTATCTATCCGCAAACGTTCTCACAGAGGAGACTGTAAGCAGACACGCGGTGGTGGGGACTGGGAGGCACGCTGGAGAATTAGTCAGCAGTTGGAACAGTGACCTAGATGTCTAAGCAACATGGCTAGATCTCCACTCAGAGCAGATGCTTTGTTAATGATTCCGGTCAACTCACCACGTAACTTTCCTTACAGAGTCTGTTATTTTGTCCAAAATCAAAACTGCACATCCACAGAGGAGAGATTTCGAAGATTATCCGAGAATGTCAAGAAGAAAGTTTCTGGAAGAGAGGTAATTGCACCCCTCTTAATCTTCATTAACTCGATATTTGCTGCAGTAAGCTGCCCAAGTGTCATGTTAGAATGATGGTAATGATTCACTTCTGAGCAGGGACTTTGCACTTCCTCTTTCCAGGCCTGCCTTATGTAAGACGAGGGTGTGAATTCACGCTGTGCGTTAAAGTCTCTTCCAATTTAAAAAATTCATGATCTGCCATTTGAAAATGTCATGATAGAGCCTGTAGATATAGTCCCAATGATTTGCAACTTTGGGATAATTCAAACTTTGAAATATGCATTTTGGTTTCTCAGATCAGTCAAGTTCAGTGTCAACTGATTGGGAAGTAACACTTTAGAACCTGATACTCATTATACATTATTATGATTATTGATTGTGCTCCTAGAAATCCATGGGTTTTTGTTTTTGTTTTTTTTACAGCTTATGAATCAATAACTTAAGTAAGCACTAGTAGATTAACATTTCAGTATGACCCATTTGTCTACCATCAGGTAGATAAGAGTGGAGAAATCGGTTGCTATTCGATTTTTCTTGGTTGCTAGGAAGAGCTAGATGTTTATCAGCGCTCTCTGCTCTTGGAAGAAGTGTTGCATTTTGATAGAACTCGAAACTGTTCAGATCCACTTGCCTGTTTTAAAAATCATAGCTCGGGCGCCTGGGTGGCTCAGTCGTTAAGCGTCTGCCTTCGGCTCGGGTCATGATCCCAGGGTCCTGGGATCGAGTCCCACATCAGGCTCCCTGCTCGGCAGGAAGCCTGCTTCTCTCTCTCCCATTCCCCCTGCTTGTGTTACTGCTCTCGCTATCTCTCTCTCTGTCAAATAAATAAATAAAATCTTTTAAAAAAAATAAAAAATAAAAATCATAGCTCAACACCACCCATGTTTAACACAAGTTTGATAATCTTGTAATCTTCAGAAAATAGACATATCCAAATTGCGCAGCCAAGTATCACTCAAGACGAAAGCTAGGAATGGTCCTAGATGGGGTAGGACGGAGTTTATTGTGTTGTTTTTTTAACTTTTACATAGGATTGAAAATTTCCAAAGCCACGGTTAAAGGCAACTCCCCAGTTCAATGGCTAAGTGGGCACATGCACTAAGATGCCTTTGTCGTAGGTCGTGCTCTGAATCTAGTGCATGTGGGCACTCAGTAAAATCAGATGGCGGAGATGGAGTAGCATGGGGTTCGGTTTTGTCCCCTTAATGCTGGGCTTCAGGTTGAGCGACTGGGGCAGATCTCGAGAAAATTCTTCATGCGGTATTTAATAAATATTTGTTGAATAAGTAAAATAACAAATGACTGAAAACTCATTGCCAAGGTAGATAAGAGGGAAAAAAAACCACGGACTAATTTCCCCTGACTTCTGGATGAGGTGCCAAGTTTTAAAATAGCAATATTGAAGGGCATTTTTCTTTTGCAGCTCTGCCTTTTTCTCTTGTGAGTATGCTTGCCACCCAAGGACTAGTCCACCAAGGTAAGATGCTAGATCCATTAAACAATTAAACTTAAGAAAGCCCCGTTTTCACTGACCCTCCTGGCAGCTTTTTGGCACATGGCATTTGTTTTTTGGTGAGGGATCTATTTATGCAGGTTTTTGCTAATTTTCAGACTAAGTCCCCCCCTCCCAAAGATATCCTAATCTCCAGAATGCGTGGCTCTATTAGGTTACGTGGCAAAGGGAAATTAAAGTTGCAGGTGGAATTAAGGTTGTTCATCAGCTGACCTTAAAATAGATTATTTCTGGGTTGTCCGGATGGGCCCAGTGTAATCAAAAGGGTCATGAAAAATGCAAGAGTGGATCAGAAGACGGAACCAGAGGGATAGCAAGCACGAGAAGGGCTCAGTCCAGCATTGCCGGCTGTGAAGATGGAAGAAGGGCCTGTGAGTCCACGGACATGGCTGGCCTCTAGAAGCTGGAAAGGCAAGAAACCCTAGAGCCTCCAGGAAGAATGCAGCTCTGCCAATCCCTTGATGTTAGCCCAGTACTATGGTCTGAATTCACATGTTGAGCTCTTAACACCCCGTGCGTGGTATTAGGAGATGGGGTCTTTGGCGGGGAGGTGGAGTCCTCATGAAGGGGATTAGTGCCTTTGGAAAAGAGATCCCTCAGAGCTCCCTAGCCCCTGCCATTACATGATGATACAGCAAGAAGTCTGCAACCCCAAAGAGGACCCTCCCACCCAACCATGCTCGCACCTGATCTTGGACTTCAGCCTCCAGAACTGAGAAATTAATTTCTGTTGTTTATAAGCCCCCCCAGTCTGCCATATTTTGGGGTAGCCACCCAAATGGACCGAGTCACCCAGTGAGACCCACTTTGAGCCTCTGACCTCCAGCACTATAAAGTAACAAATTTGTGTTGCTTTAAACCACTAAGTGTGTGGTAAGTTGTTAGAGCCCAGGCGACCCATGCAGTGCCTTTCTCTGTGCCAGAGTCCCTGTATCTCCCTGGGGCTCCGCATATGGTTAGACAGATTGTCTCCTTCAGAAGCGGATTCCAAAGAGGAGATACATGGTGCGGAAATCCACCACGCTCTGCCCATCATGCCATTCATCGTGACTGCATCTGCCTGAGGAAGGACTGCATCTGCATTTGCCTGAGGAAGGACACCCTGTCTAATTTGAACAACAGATCCAGAGAACTAGCAGCCGCCCAGCATCTCCCCACATAGTCTCTTCCTGCCTCTTAGAGTTTTCCGCTTCTCCTGTCTGACTCTCTTCTTTCTTCTTATCTCCATCTGTCAGAGCCCCCTTAGGCATTGCTTGGGCCCCTAACAAGAAGGCACCTGACTTTGCTGAAGCCCACTATACTGAACACTGCTGATTACCAGGACTTTAAAAAGAGTATTATACCCAGCAAACGTGAAGGAAAATGTTCTAGTTCTTTTCCTGGGGTCTCAAGACCACATATGTCATATATCTAGGAGAATCCCATTTCACTCAATATTACTCTTGTCTTTAAAGTGATTTATTAAATATGATTTCATTTTTTAAGATTTATTATTTATTTGAGAGAGATCATGAGTAGGGAGATGGGCAGAGGGAGAGGGAGAGAAATCCTCAAGCAAACGCCCCACTGAGCACAGAGCCTGACATGGGGCTCGATCCCAGGACCCTGAGATCATGACCTGAGCCAAAATCAAGAGTTGGCTACTCAACTGACTATGCTACCCAGGCGCCCCTGATTTCATTTTTATAACTTGAGGAAGATAGCCTTTTCATAGAAATATATTCATCAATCAGTAGCAAGTCTTTGTCAGACCATTTCTGACAACAAAAAATTATGGCCACGACATCTATAGGGATTATGTTTTATAGATATTAAACTGCTTAACATCTACAGTCTTCTGCATGTGTGCAAATATACTTTTCCAGGTTTGTGTATTAGTGTTCTGTGGCTACTATAATAAATTACCACAAGCATAGTGGCTTAAAACAATACAAATTTATTATCTCACAGTTTCGGAGGTCAGAAGTCCAAAATAGGTCTCAGTGGGCAGAAATCAAAATGCTGGCAATGCTACCTTCCTTGGGAGGTGGGGGAGGTTGGTCTGGGGCTTCCTTTCCCTTTCCAGCTTCTAGAGACCATCCACATTCCCTGGCTCATGGCCCCTTCCTCTGTCTGCAAAGCTAGCAACACTGAGGCAAGTTCTCATCCTGCCATCTGTCTGGTTCTATCTCTGAATCCCTCTTCCACATTCAAGGTGATTACATCTTGATTACATTGGGTCCACCCCAATAATCCAGGGTAATCTTCCTATTTTAAAGTTACCTGGGGACGTGTGGGTGGCTCAGTCGTTAAGCGTCTGCCTTCAGCTCAGCTCATGATCCTGGGGTCCTGGGATCGAGTCCCGCATCGGGCTCTTTGCTTGGCGGGAAGCCTGTTTCCCCTCTGCCTGCAGCTCCCCCTGCTTGTGCTCTCTCTCTCTCTGACAAATAAATAAAATCTTTAACAACAACAACAAAAGGTTATCTGATTAGCAACCTTAATTCCACTTTCTTCATAGTTTCCAGGGATTGGGATGTGGACATCTTTAGGAGACCATAATTCTGCCTACCACAGATTTTAATGTTTTCATTTAAAAATTATGATATATATACTATGAATCTCTAAACTGAGACTCTGTGTTGAGTTACTTAAAAGAGGAGGGGGCGATGCCTAATTGCTTGGAACTAAGTTGTTAGCTCCACCTTTGCCTTGATAGCTTTTTATTTTTTTTAAGATTTTATTTTTTAAGTAATTTCCACACCCAATGTGGGGCTCGAACTTACAACCCCGAGATCAAGCGTCACATGCCCTAGGGACTGTGCCAGCCAGGAGCCCCACCTTGATATCTTTATTTATTTATTAAGATTTTACTTATTTAGAGAGAGAGAGAGAGTACATGAGTGTGAGAGACGCGAGCTGGGGGAGGGGCAGAGGGAGATGGAGAGAATCCCAAGTGGACTCTGTGCTGAGCATGGAGTCTGACATGGGGCTTGATCTCACCACCCTGAGATCATGACCTGGGTGGAAACCAAGAGGCAGCGTTCAGTGAGCTGAGCTATCCAGGTGCCCTCCCCACCCGCCCCACCTTGATATCTTTAAATCGGTCTTGAATTTTTCTGTTTCATATTCTTTTTCTCTACATTTTGGCAAGCTAATACTTGCTACTTGCCAAAAACGGTGATTTGAGAGTTAAGTTCAATCAAGAATTGACTTATAACTCTTTAAAAATCATCTCTTTAGATTGAGAATCTGTATATCTTAAACTTTGAAGTTTTCTTTATACTTTATAAATTTAAATAAGTTATAAAATGAAATACTAATGTATTTATATATTACTCCATAGGTTATTTAGCATCTAACCCAAGATTTGGATCATTGCCCAAGGTTGCGTGTAAGTTACAGAAGTTAAAAAAAAAAAAAAGATTCATTTTTTTAAAAGATGTTTATAGCAACTGGAGATATGGATGTCAGGCTAACCAAACTGCCTGTGTTGACTCTCTGAAAAATCGGTCTCCATTTTTTGTCTCTTTGCAGTTTTTAGTTCATGCAGCACTTTCTGATATAAGGCTGAGCAGTAGGGACCCCACCTTTAAGCCTGGACCAAGAGGCACCAGCAGAATATACTATGAGAAGAGACCAAGAACAGAGCCTCTGAATGATAGAGCCATTAGGGGTTTTAAGTTTTCTTCTTTTGGCCAGGTTTTTCAAAATATTTTCTATAACGGACCTAGCAAATGAATACTTTTTAAAAATCAGGGACTTTCTAATAATACATTTACCACAAACTTGGGGGTTCATCTTATTCCACTCATTACACATAGACCTGTTATGTACAAAGAAGATGCAATCCAGTGTACAGTCTGAAACCTCTTTCCCAGCAAGAAGAGCAGGTTGGCTATTTCTCCCCTAGGAGGTTCCCTCTGCCTCCTGACCTCTCCCTGCAGGCAAGATGGATTGCAGCTCCCCCTATTCTAACCCATCAAGAGAGTTAAGGGGATTTCCTGCCAAGGAATTTGGAAGCTACCTGTAGCCACACCCCAAACACCGTCCCTTCCTTCCGTGGTGGCCTCAGACGTTAATTTGCCATCTGGGCCTCCCTCTGACTGCCGGTCTCTGAGACAGCACCTTCGCTTTCTCTATCCTGGCCCTTCTACCATCAGCTCAAAACGGAGGAGATTGGAAAGTCTCCATTTCCCAATCCTGCTCTTTAATAGGGAGATTCATTCGCAGTGGTTGTGTTCGTTGATTTGTGGTGGTACTTTTCACATAAAATTTACTACGGTTCATGTAGAAAGGTCTAGAAGATAATTAATGGAAGAGATTCTGAACTTTTAAAATTATCTTTCCTAACCTGCTTTTACAGTTGCAGGTATCTTGGGATTTGCCCTTGGAAAGGCGTCATACATACGAGTATGCCAGAGTAAATTCCATTCTGTTGAAGATCAGCTACGTGGGGCTGGTTTTGGTCCAGGGCATAACAGGTTTGTAACTTAAAAAAAAAAAAAAAAGTTATTAAGTTTTTAATTTTAATTCCAGTACAGTTAACATACAGTGTTATATTAGTGTCAGGTGTACCATCTAGTGATTCAACAATTCTAGAAATTACTCAGTGCTCATCATGGTAAGTGTCCTCTTCATCCCCAGCCCCTATTTCACCCATCTCCCCATCTTCCCACCCTCCTCCCCTCTGGTAACCATCTGTTTGTTCTCTATAGTTGAGAGTCTGTTTCTTGGTTTGTCTCTCTCTTTTTTTCCTTTTGTTCATTTGTTCTGTTTCTTAAATTCCACATATGAGTGAAATCATATGGTATATGTCTTTCTCTGACTGACTTATTTTGCTCAGCATAATACACTCTTGCTCCATCCATGTCGCTGCGACAGGTTTGTAATCTTTTTGATTGAGGGATTGTAATGAAGATAATAATAAAAAGTTAGACAAAGGCCTTTTCACCACTTATAATATTAAACAATTTTCTAAATATATGTTGGAAAAAAAAACCTCTTTAACTCTCAATTTTTGAGCTGTTGCTATTCAACTTCAATAATAATTATTTATTACACAACTTAATTACCTATTTCATTTGCTCAACATTTCGTGAGCACCTACTATGTTCAAGGCATTGTGCAGGTCTCTAAAGAATACCTTCATCAGCAGACATGGCTTCTACATCACGGGGCCACACAGAATGGGAACAGGTTTCTCTGCTGCAAGACTTCTCAGAACCCTTCTAGGTTAATGTGTATCGATTCTCATTCAGTGGTGCGAGCCGCAGGACTGTGGACTTAAGGACATTCCTTCTGCGGCTAGAGTACCTGGGTGGAAACCAGTACTACCACTTACAAAGCTGGGTAACCTTGGACAAGTTTCTTACACTCTCTGATCTTCAGTTTTCTCCTCTGTAGAAAATGGTGATCAGAACTGTTTTCATGACATGTTATAAGGAACAGAAATGATTATTTAGGACAGTAAGTGCTCAGTGAATAATAGCTGTTTCTACGAGGGTATTTATAGGACTGGTGGTGGGGACACATTTCTCTAAAGACCCTCACTTGTCACAGTGGATTCTATTTGAGAGGCAGCATGTGAAAACAATGGACATGAAGAATTATTGGCCCCTTTGTTCGGATGAAATTCTGGGGGTCTCAAACCAAGAAATAGCTCCTATTTTTCCTTTAAAAAATGAGGCTTGTGAACTTTAATGTAGAAAATGTCCCTTAGGGGGTGCCTGGGTGGCTCAGTTGGTTGAGCGTCTGACTCTTGATTTTGGCTCAGGTCATAGTGTCAGGGTCATGGGATTGAGCCCTGTGTTGGGCTTATAGGCTGCATGGAGCCTGCTTGAGATTCTCTCTCTCCCTCTCCCTCTGCCCTCCCCCAACACTCGAGCTCTCTCTCTCTAAAAAAAAAAAGAAAGAAAGAGAGAGAAAGAAAGAAAGAAAGAAAGAAAGAAAGAAAAAGAAAAGAAAAGAAAATGTCTGCCAGTAATGTTGTGTTAAGACTAGACCTTCCAGTGTCAAAGCACAAACTTCTGTTTTTGCCTCCATTCTAGGCACTGCCTGCTCACCTGTGAGGAATGCAAAATTAAGCATGGATTAAATGAGAAGGGAAGTTCACAGCCTTCGGCTTCCTAAACTTGTACCTGTGGCTTTTGATGTTTCTTAAACCTCTGAGCTTGGACACATTTAAAATTTCAAGTGTACTTTAAAATAATATAAGTATAGTGGCACAGAAACATTGTGATTCTCTCACTCTTTTGAAATGCTTTCTGTGGAATATCCTCTGTTGAATTGAGCAGTGTATGTTTGTCTGCTATTTGAGAACATGTCCGGAGCAGTCACACACCAAAAAAGAAATTATGTGGCACTCCTTAACTTGCTTACAGCTAAGTTGAAAAAACATAGAGTCTTCTCTGATCCATTCTTTCACTCTGCATTTGTTCAGGGTTTTAAGATCTCTGCTAGAGGATGGGAATGAATGTTGCAGAACTTGGGAAGTCATGCCCCACAGAAAACCAATGTGTATAGAGGTAGAAACAAAGGGCAAGAAAGATTGTATCTTATAAGCTTGAGAAGTATTTACTAAAATGTAGGGACCAAGATTTTTAATTTAATAAAAAAATATTTCCCTTAAAAGAGTTGGAATCTGAATCCACTGTCCTTTCAGTGACCCAGGTGACTTTATGCCTCATGGGTATGGTAAAGTTTTGGCGAAGCCCACCATCTTTAGGTTACTTGTTTCGCTAATCGGTGCGTGCTCATGGTCAGCACTAAAGAACTGGGCTCTTTTATATACTGCTAGTGGCCTGTATATAAACATGTACAACTTTCCAAACTGCCTCTCCTCTCCCAAGGAACAGTTTGTTTATGGCAGCAATCACTGGAAGAATTAATTCATGGAATGATAAACTTTTAGGGCCATACGGAGCTTAGAAGAAGCCAATCCAAACCCAGGAGGTGAATTCGTATCCTCCTACCAGGTTTTTTGCATGAAAAAACAACCAACCAACCAACCTCTTCCACTGGGGACCTTGTGTTGTTTGAGCCCTACATAAAAATTTCCCTTGCATCTTTGCATTTTCTCGGGAAAATGCTTTATGTATGTGTCACCACTTCTATATTGAGTGTGTGTGTGTGAGTGTGTGTACATGTTTGTATTTTACTTAATACATTTTGAAACCTATACCATGGAGGTAAAAAGGGAAATCTCATCAGAAGTTAATAATTGATATAAATGTTTTATTTTAAATATAAAAAATATTGGGAGTTTTTATTTTTACGTGACCATTAAGGTCACCATTTTACATGACCAGCTGAAATGGAGTGATTTTGACGCTGTCTCCTGGCTATCTTCCATAGCCTGGTCGTTCAGCTGCTAAAGTGCTGTTTCTGTCCATCAGAACACAGAGCCAGCATCCCAGCTTCATGGATGCGGTTAAACTCCTGGCTCCAACAACTAGCACTTGGTGACTCTTCGTTCTCTCAGTGATTGGCATCCACTCAGAATTAGGCACATTTGTTTCCTGCATGCCAGAAACGGATTTCCCAGGGATCAGAACATCTTCACATTGCTAAGCACAGCAAGTCAATGTTGAAATCCGTCTTGGGGTACTGGGAAAAGACGAATCTATTATTGGTGAAAGGGCCCATTGTTTCACAGCTGACATCTTCATCACTCTTTTGAATCAAATTGGATTTATTAGGCTCTCTGCTTTTCCTAGGCAGGTAAGTTATTCATTGAAACAGTTTATCACAGTGATGTGAAAGGAAATCAGTAAAGAAAAAACTGGAAGATCACTTAAGACATCTCAAATATTTTGCCACATTATCTGTTGCATATATTAGGAAACGCATATCTGGGGGAGAATGTCTGTTTCTTGTAGGAAGATGTGTCAAAGGAGTGGCCTTTGTCTTTCAGCATTTAGAAATTACCAACACTCATCACCACGCTGGTCATCAGTTTGTAAAAGCAGTACTTTCATGATTAAAAAAAAAAAAGATGTACTGTATATAATACTTACATATTTTTTAAAATTCTCACTTAAGCAAAGATAGTCTCAGGCGTGGCTGGGTGGCTCAGTCGTTAAGCATCTGCATTCGGCTCAGGTCATGATCCCAGGGTCCTGGAATCGAGTCCCACATTGGGCTCCCTGCTCGCCCGGGAGCCTGCTTCTCCCTCTCCCTCTGCTGCTCCCCCTGCTTGTGCTCTCTCTCTGTCAAATAAATAAATAACATCTTTAAAAAGAAAAAAGATACTCTCTTCCCTTGCTGTCAGAATAGATGACTTATTTTCTGCTAACATGATGAATTTCTGCTAACATTTGTCTTGAAGGACTTGATTAAAACAATGAAAATGTCAGATAGATAATTTTCTTGATATTCAAATAATGCAATCTGTTAGTTGACAAAATTTTTCCACTTCATTTCTTTTTAAAGATTTTATTTATTTGTCAGAGAGAGAGAGAGCACAAGCAGGGGATCCCCTCTGCGGTCTGGGCCGGTGAGATTCCGGGAGCCACATACGTACCCGCAGGGGAAGGAGACGTGAGGCTCAGCGGTGCGGCCCCGGACCGGCCCGGCCTGCGACTGTTCAGAAAGGTCTTACGGGAGTGTCCCCAGACCGGGATGTGATGGGGCTGGAAACCCACTCCAGTGGTTGAAGAAACTCAGAGGCACATGCGTTCCAATATTTAAAGGCTATTGTGTGAAAGAAGAAGAATAATTCTATTTTGTAGGGCCAGGTGGGACCAAAAAAAGAAAAGCTACTTTGTAGCCACAGGGAAATTACAGGCTTAGGTTGACAAACACAACGAAGTATCTGTATCTGGCCAAGAAGTCGGCTTGGGGCTGGAGATTCAGGCGTAAGTAAAAAAGAGACCCGCTTCCTTCCTGGAAGAGCTTCCGCTCTCGGGGCGAGGGAGACAAACCTGGGCTTCCGTACTATATCCATGCCTCTTGACACGTAATTTTGCATTTCCTTCCCACTGTGAGCGAGGCAAACTACCGATCTCTCGACCTTGGGTTTGTCCACATGACTTTCTTCAGGCAAGCTGTGAGGCAGAAATGAAGGCGAGCCAGTTCCAGACTTAAGCCTAACGAGCCTTGTGAGTTTCCACTTGTCTCTATCGCGACCATCAGAACAGGCCTGACACTACATGCAGAGCCAATAGCCTGCACACAGCTCCACGGTTGCCTAGGATCTAGTCCCTGTCAGAAACCCCTTACTCTCTATCACTCAGGGCAATCTGCTTTTCTATCAAATTCTCATACAGAAACTGGGTAGCTGTAGGTGGGGTGCTGCCATTAACACAGACCTAAAACACGTAGCATTGGTCTGGCGGACGAGTGGCAGAGGGATGCTGGCAGGACTTTGGGGAGAGGATCAGTATAAACCTCAAAAGCCTGGATGAGGGCGTTAACAGAAACCTAAAGAGGTTCCAAGGAGGCTGTCAAGGAAGGGTCACAGAAGAGAGAGGGAAACATTATTGGAAGCTGGAAGAGATTTTGATTATCAGTTGTATAGAGTTTAACAAAACTGTCACCTGTGGCAACACAGAAAATAGAAAACGTACCAACAAACGTAATGATCTAGCTAAGACTTCTGGGCAGTGTTGAGGATGACACCTGGATTTTTCTAGCTGCCTAAAATGAGAGAAGAGACATAATAGAACAACTTATTCCATTTCCAAATGCGATTTGTAGAAAATATAAAGGCCCATAAGAGTTTCTTAAGCCAGCAAAAGTTTCTTTTGGGGCGCCTGGGTGGCTCAGTCGTTAAGCGTCTGCCTTCTTTTTTAAAGATTTTATTTGAGGGCGCCTGGGTGGCTCAGTTGGTTGAGCGACTGCCTTCGGCTCAGGTCATGATCCTGGAGTCCCGGGATCGAGTCCCGCATCGGGCTCCCTGCTCGGCAGGGAGTCTGCTTCTCCCTCTGACCCTCCCCCCTCTCATGCTCTCTCTCTCTCTCATTCTCTCTCTCTCAAATAAATAAAATCTTAAAAAAAAAAATTAAAGATTTTATTTGATAGAGAGAGAGACAGCGAGAGAGGGAACACAAGCAGGGGGAGTGGGAGAGGGAGAAGCAGGCTTCCCGCAGAGCAGGGAGCCCGATGCGGGGCTCCATCCCAGGACCCTGGGATCATGACCAGAGCTGAAGGCAGACACTTAACGATTGAGCCACCCAGGCGCCCCAAATAAATAAAGTCTTTTAAAAAAATTAATAAAGATCTAAAATCTTAAAAAAAAAAAAAGCCAGCAGAATTTTCTCATGCTGAGAAATGGCTTCCAGGCAAAGATCAAATCCAAAGTGGGGCATAAGGTTTTCTGTTCATGAGGCTATTGGCTCTGCATCTAGTGTCGGGCCTGTTCTGATGGTCACGACAGACACAAGTGGAAACACACAGGGCTCGTTAGGCTCAAGTCTGGAACTAGCACGCCTTCATTTCTGCCTCAGAGCTTGCCTGAAGCAAATGAAGTGACAGTGCTTCCTTCATAGGACATTTCAAACACACAAGGGTCCTCTACAGGTCTTACAGGCATAACCTTGTAGACCCTGTGCAAGGTTTCTAGAATCTCAGGGCTGTTCATCAGCCTCACAGGAAGCACAGTGTAAAAAAGGGACAGTCTCTTAAGGGCGATTAGGTGGCTCAGTAAGTTAAGCCCGGACTCTTGGTTTCAGCTCACGTCTTTATCTCAGGGTTGTGAGTTCAAACTCTACATCGGGCTCCACACCCACCCACTGGGTGTGGAGCCTACTTAAAAAAAAAAGACTGGGCACCTGGGTGGCTCAGATGGTTAAGCGTCTGCCTTCGGCTCAGGTCATGATCCCAGGGTCCTGGGATCGAGTCCCACATCGGGCTCCCTGCTCCTTGGGAGCCTGCTTCTCCCTCTGCTTCTCTCATGAATAAATAAATAAAATCCTTAAAAAAAAAAAAAAAGACGGTCTCCAACAGACTTATGGATGGCTTTTGTGTAATGGAATGCATTATAAATGGATACTTCAGAATTCCACAGGTTTAAAAAATTTTATCAGTTTCGACAGGGACAGTGTAAAAAGAGGTCTTAGGAGCTCCGATTTCTATGGGCAAGAAAGCAGGCTGAGAAAATCACTCCACTGCAAACATGAGCTACCTTTATGGGAAAGGCAGGACTCAGAGCCACCGCGAACCCCTGGGAGGTATGCCCAAGCCCTCACAAAGAACTGGCAGCATGAGGCGGGCTGGACTTCAGAATTGCTATGGACAAGTGACTGGCATATGCTTCTCATGTTCCCTTTTTCAATGGGAGTGGTGAGGATGCCTAACAGGTATTTGGGATGAATAGGTCAGGTAGCTTCTCTTCAGTTCACAGGTCTTAAGACCTTTGAAATGGTATTTCAAAGACTCTCACCCGAGTGCCTCACCCACAACTGGACCTGATGAGATGAGCTCCTAGACTCTGAGCTGTTGTTATAATGGATACGAATTGGAGGTCCTGGGAAAGTAGTTTGTTTTGCATGAGAGGGATGTGAATTGCTGTGGCCAAATGGTGAACTCCTTCCATCCCACTGTGACTTAAGTGGGAGTCTTATGTTCCTGCCCTTTGACAAGGCAGGCTTGTGAAGAAATGCTATAGGGCTGAGGCCAGGTCAGAAATAAAAGGCAATGAATGAAGCTTCTGACACGCTTGCTGGACCATTCCTGTTACAGCCTTAAGTGGTCACATAGAAAAGTCTGTCCTGAGCACTCCATGCTGTGAGGAGCCCTCAAACCCACCCAGAGGCCGTGGCAAGGTCCTGAAACCAAATGGAGGGAGAGATGCCCTGGCCAAACCCCAGATCTCTGGTTCCCTGACGTCAGAAGCACCCAGCATCTGAATGACCTAAGAGACACACAGCCAAATAACTCAGCTGAATCCTTCCTTCATCAGGACCCACAGAGAAAATGGAGATAATAAATGACCAGTTTTAAGCCACCAAGTTTGGGGATTTACAATAGCTAACTGAAACACTATGTTTCTGGTAGAACTGCAATTATGAGTAAGTAGAATTTAGATAAGACCGGTTTCATTTTCCATTCACCTGAACCAGAAACAAACATTGGGTAGATAATGAACGAAGTTTACCAAATTTTTATTCCTGTGGAATCTGCAAACTTTTCAAATATGACCATTGCTTAAAGGTGTTGAGCTATTTACGTTTATTTACATGCGTCACATTCATTCTACTATTAAATATTCAGAAACAGAGGACTTCATTTCCTATCCCCAAACACCACTTACATATAATTATACTTAAAGAGATTACAAACCATAAATCCATGAAATCAACAAAGATGCATGTTCCTTTATGTTTTATTTACCATAAACATTAATAAGTGAATACAGCAAACACTGGAGAAAGGCTTTTTAATAATTTTTGGATGTAAAGCTTAACACTTAAAATTATGCTTGCTCCCCCCCCCACCCCAATTCAACATGCAGATACTTATTTTCATATATGCTGATCCTAGAGTAGACAATCTCTTTGTAGTTTCATAAGAGAGTATCCTTACCCTGTTAACTTGAAACGATTTCACAAACTATATGTGGTCATGGTATAATATCATCATTCATACAGTTCAAGGTGAATACATTCACACAACATTCACATTAAAATCTGTGTTTTTAAACATCATTTTAATAAGCCAAACCACAAGAACCCAGGTTCTAGTTTTAAATGTGTTTATGAAGACTGCTGCTGAGCTCAAAGCATGCAGATATTCATGACCACCTAGATGAAGCTGGATATTGAAACGCCTTCAGTAGGTCCAATGATGCAATTTTTCACTCATCCCAAGTATCTCCATATTTGTTTACTTTGACTAGGAAAAAAGCACAAATAATTGATGATTCCAAATATTAACAAGTAAAAGATACTATTTTACGTTTGCTACTATGATGAAAATTATGTTTCTCTTTCATTTTCAATAAATGCACATGAGAGAAAGGGGCTAGCTAGACTTTTGTGAAGTGAGGGTTGGACATAAATAATGACACACTCTATCAAAAACTACATCAATCTTTTATCCTCGTAACAAGCTTATAAAGTAAACACAATCCCCATCTGAAGGGTGAGAAAACAGATTAGTAACTTGCCCAAGGTACAAGCCTTTAATAAAGCAAATAGAACCAAAATCTGAACACAAGTCTATTGAGGTCCAAAGTGTGGACACCTTTACAACTTACCATACTAAGTGTGGTACATATTATAGAACATACAAAAAAATTACCAGGAAATAAAAAATAATAACAAACATTTGAATTTTGTTTCTCACAAAAAATACAGTAACAGAAATGATCAAGTCTTCAGTTAATTGTGGTTAATTCATTCTTCTCCCCCATGAGCTGTAATACTATACAAGAAAGAAATGGTTTCCAATATTCCTGCATTTTACATGAAATTACATTTTGAAAAAAGCTCCTCTGTCTTCTCTACTCTTTTACTTTCAGCCTCTCTTCTACATAGCCTTCATCTGTGGATTACAACTCTTCAGAAGACTCAAGTATTCATAACAATGTAAAGGAGCAGTTATCAAAGTACGGACTAGGAACCCCTTCCACAAGAGTCTTTCAAGGAGTCTGTTTAAGTCAAACTATTGCATTATTATACTAAGATATTATATGCCTTTTCCCTCGTATTTTGCCTTTTCCCCTAGCTTTCATTTCCTCATGAATATAAGGGAGTCTTCTAGAAGCTATATGATGTGTGGTGCCATCATGCCCTGATGGCTAATTGATAATATGCTTCTGTTTTTGAAATTTCTCAGTCTTAATTTCTAATTTAGGTAAATGTCAACAAACATAATCTACACAAACTGAAGCTGAAAACCTAAGTGATACTTTCTGACCAAGTGAATCTACACTGTAGTAATGTCAAATTTTCTGTCTAGATTCTAAAATAGAACATTCTAAAAAATCACCCGAACTATTTCATAACTGTTTTTCTTTAAATTATATAGAGCGCACACAAAAAAATCAGCTTTCTTTTTACAAAGAAAAAAGTTATTTCACATTACTGTCATGTAACAGAACTTCAAGATTGTTCAGTCAAAACCACAAATGTCAAAATCCAGCATGTGCCAAAGATCTACCTAATTCATTTCCTTTTGTTAACCTTTATTATTGAGGCCCAACCAAAACACTTCATATCTGATACATCAGTGCAAACTACGCTGTGCAGACATATAACAGAAAAGCTTACAAAAATGAGAGAAATGCTACTGCCTGCCCTCATGGAGCTTACAGTCTAAATCCTCAAATTAATTACTGGAACAAAGTACCAGTAAGTCTTTATATATTATAAAATAATGGCCACCGAATGCAAAATGTTTATGCTAAAGGTTTTCTTCTAATGACAAACATTAACAAGTATTTTTTATTACAAATCTATTTGAAAGCTGGATTTTTTTACATTAATAGTATGACAGCAATATTATCCATGATTGTTATGAAAACAGAATTCTAAATGAAGCAACCACTAACAATTAGAAATAAAATTGGTTCTAAAAGAACAATCATAATAAAAAATACTCAAAACTTTTATGTATTTTTGCATTCTTTGTGGCATAGGACTCTCAAGAAGGTACCAAGGACCTCTTCCTTCCCTTTTTTTAAAGTAATAAATAAAAAACCTTAAAACAGTGACACTCTCTAAAATTCTTCAAAAAAGAGGTCATAAAATTCTACACTGAAATAGGTACAAACCCCTGCTCAAAATGCCTTCTTCCATTAGGGGTAAACTTCTGTGTCAGAAAATTTACTTTGGGTAATGTAGAGCTCTTCCAAAAGGAATGAAAACAAGCGGTGATTTTTAAATTTATAATTAATTATAGAGCAAAAGTACTATTGAAAAAAAGGTCAAACTCCTCTTCTGGAAGTGCCCTAAAAGCTGGTTTATAACGCATATAACTTCTATTTATTTCAATTTCACAAAACATAAGACTGAAAATCAATTTCATTCCTCAATCTTGATTCTCTAATTCTGCTTAAAGTGTCACTACAGCCCGTTATCAAACTCAGGCAACCAGATTTGGTTTTAGGCATTCGATGCATCATTTAAAAAACACTTATTAAGTCCCAAGGTGATTTCTGATAAGAGAAAACATTCAAATGGATTTATAATTTATACAACTTATTAAAACTAGTCTGTTTTAATTCATACCACTATTTGGACTTTATTATTTTCTAACACAAAACGGTCTTTGGAACACCTTAGAAAAGGAAAAACTAGTTAACTGTGACAGAACTATTCTTTTTAAAAAAATGTTATTTTGGTTAACTGCTTGCAGAATTAAATCACATATTAGTAGAGTTAATATTTTTAACTAATGCTGCAGTTTCCGATCCTAAAGAGTAAAGTGATTCAGACTAAACTATCATACCTTCTTTTTTTGGCATTCTTTCCTGCATAGGCCTGACTGAGGGGTCAGTCTTATGTGTTAAAGTTACTTCATATGACTCTCTGTTCTTATTCCTTAATTCCTCATATGTAATATTTTTTCTCTTAGGACTTTCTTCAGGGTTGGGATCAGGTCCTAAAACAACAAACAGTTAATAAATGGTGATAAAAGGATTTGAATAAATCCAAAGCAACTAAATTTTCTAAATGCTTCTCACCTATAATAAAAACAGAATAAAGTAAAAAGTCAATTACCACCATTCCAAAAGTACTGTATTTCCCCCAAGATAATTACAAAATGAAAACTGACTTTCTCTTATACTTCTAAGCTTTTATTTCTAAAATTTAAAATCAACATAAAAAAATTAAAAAGTAACCATGGCCAGAAGAATGGATATCATAATACATACCAGTGTAATTTATACTCACTAAAATATTAGTGTTTTACTGGGAAATTATTCACACTGTTTACGTAATTAAAAAGAAATATATTCTAATACTGGCAACTGAACAAAATTTGACATCGTATATATTCTACTTAGTAATATTTCCATAGTTGAATGTACCTATAATCAGTCTATATGTGAACAACTATTAAAAAAAAATGTGCCATTTTTATACTTAAACAAAAACACTTGGAAATAGCTGTTGAAAAGTGTAAAATATAGCCTTCAATCACCGTATGCATCATTTTTACTCAGGTCTAATGGAACAATACTGAGGCAGAAAAAAAGTGGCAAAGATAATTTTGGCCAGGTAACCAGCCTTTATTCTTTACCTCTCCCAAAGAGAGTCAAAGTAGCAATATATATCATCAAAGAGTTAAATATTGATGTAAAAATAAGGAAGTGGTTACTCTTACTATTAGACAACAGGAGCAAATACTAAACATAGTTTACAAAATGTATAACCAGCAAAAAAAGTCATATAAACATTTTAAAAGAAATGAACTAATGCTAACGTAACATTCAGTCAACAACTACTTAACTTAGAAAGTCTTACACCCCACTCCAAAAGTAGTAGTTTTCAAAGAAGTTCTTACACACAAATTGGATACATCATTTTATTAATATAATCATTAATTAAGATAATTTTTTAAAAAGCAGTTTTTGTAAGTGGTATTTTGGAATTCTACAGTAAGGTCCCAGTGAATAATCAGAATTTTCAAATCAACCTTAACTACAACTTTAAATGTTTTCAGGCATAACCTTTTATTTCACTACAAAGTATACTGCACTGATACAAAGCAAAAGGCTTTAAATATTAGTTTGAATATTATACCGTTCTTGAAAACTAAATTTTTGCTAAAAAAGAATGCAAAGAAAAATATGATAACCTTATATTGGGTTTAAAAAGCACTCACATTTCATTATTAATGAGTAATTATTAAACTCATTTCCCTTTACCATAACTGATATTTTTAAAATTCTGAAGGAGACAGTGTATACTAGATTATTAGTTAGGAACTCTAAATTCTCATTCCCACTTTGCCAACAATCAGTGAATATCCTTGGGCAAATCACTAAACTTCTTTGAATCTTGGTTTTCTCAGTTGTGAAATACAGATGTTTGACTACATGATCTATCTTTAAAGTTCCTTCCAGGTCTAATACTTTTTCTCACTGAAAAGAAAATACTTCTTTGTTCCAAAATTCTGTGACAAATAATGGAAACATAAATCAGAAGATTAGGGAGAATTTCTCCCACTTACAAAGCCCAATGAAAATATTCTGCATTGTGTAGGGAGAGCATGATTTACTACTTTGGGAAGGTTATAAAGAGCTGGAAGGAATAAAATATAAAACAGCAATGACTTAAATCTAACTGTAATAAACTATCTATGATAAGTCTAACAGCAATGAAAGAGTACTTTCTACTCTGAAAGATTAATAACTCTTTCAATTCCTAGTAAAAGAAAGCAGAACCAAACAGGGCAAACAGGGCTTTAACAAAAGGAGAGAACGTCCTGGTAAGGGAGGACAGCAGCTAGGGCAAAGCAGAGGCCACAACTGGCCCATGTGGAGAGTAGTCAAAGAGTGGCAAGCTTGATTTAGAGAAGGGATTGAGAAAGCAGAGCAGTGGATGGATAGATGGCTGCACCTCGAGGACATAAAATATATTAAAATATGGGCCTTGCTGTAGTCTGTGGGCAGATACCAAAGGGCTTTTTTTGTCTGTCTGCTGTTATTTGGAAAAGGAATTGTACAACATAGCGTGGAATTCTCTTTTTTCTTTTTTTTAAAAGATTTTATTTATTTATTTGGCAGAGAGAGACCTAGCGAGAGAGGGAACATAAGCAGGGGGGAGTGGGAGAGGGAGAAGCAGGCTTCCCGCTGAGCAGGGAGCCCAATGCGGGGCTCGATCCCAGGACCCTGGGATCATGAGCTGAGCTAAAGGCAGACACTTAATGAATGAGTCATCCAGGCGCCCCAGCGTGAAATTTTCTAATGCAAATGGAAGGAAAGATGAAAGTCATTACAAGGAAAGAAGTCATGCATGGCCGGAATACAAGTAGAATGGATCTGAACTTGAGAGACTAGGAAAATGAGAGATGCAGTGAGAACTAAGAACAGATGTCTTTGAAGATAAATACTAACCACTCTCTCCTAACCTGCCCACCTCCTTCCCTCTCTGACTACTTGGGAGGTCTTTGTTTCCAAACATTGGGGGGGGGGGTGGAGTCAAGACTCTCAACACCTTTCATCCACTTAAGATGTCTTTAATTATTTTAACTTCCATTCTCTCCTGTTTCTTCTTTTCTAAAATGTTAATACTCACTGCCCCCACCCCAGCTTGCTCCAAAGCAATGCTGTCCAATATCACTTTCTGTAAGGATGAGAACGTTCTGTATCTGCACATTCCAACAGAGTAGCCACTAGCACATGTGGCTACTGAACAAGTGAAATGCTACAAAGAAACTGAGGAACTGAATTTTCAATTTGATTTAATTTTAATTAATTTAAATGGCCACATATATATTTAGTGGCTACTTTATGTTCTAACCTACCCAGAACCCTTCTACAACCTCTGCAACATTACTTGACCTATAATCAACTTCGCCCCTTCCCACTATTTCCCCTCCCTCCCTTTAACCTACACATAGATCCAAATCTCTCCCATCTCAAGCAACAAAAATGTTCCTTTAACCTTACTTGTTCCTCATAGTTACTGGCTTATGGTATTTGCATTAAAGCAAACGTTTTCAAAGAATATTCCATCCAAAATCCCTTATCTAAAACTTTGTAGTCAGAAATGTTTCAAAATTCAGTTTCTCAGATTTTAGAAAGATGTCATAGTATATAGCTTGTTAATATATTACTTAATATAAAAAAAATATTACTTAATATCCATACATTCGGAGGTTTGAAGAAACAATGCATAAGCAAACATTAATATTCTGTACAACAAAATGCAGGAAAAATCATATTAAGATAAAGATTATAAATAGTCTATGCCAGTTTAGGCCAGAGTGTGAAAGGAGTTAAGTCAGATTTCATCACCAGTTTAACTACAAAAAAAGCTTTGTAGGGGTGGCTGGCTGGCTCAGTTGGTAGAGCGTGTGACTCTTGATCTTGGGGTCATGCAGTCAAGCCCATGTCAGAAAAATAGATAATAAAAAAATTTTTTTAAATAAAGCTTTGTGGTTATCAAAGTTTTTTTGGATTTTAGGATTTTTAGATAAGGAACTGCAAACCTGTACTTCCTAATTCTTCACTTTTCACCACAAATTAGATTGAAAAAACGAAAGAAGGAAATGAGCAACTGTTAAGAGCCTATGACTTGTCAGGCATTACCTCTGATTATTTCATCTCATTCCCAAAGTTCTTTAAGAGAGGTATTATCTCCATCCCAGAGATCAAGAAGCTGAAGCGATCACAAAGTTACTTGCCTAAAGTCACATAGCTAGCAAATGTCAATCATTCAAATCCAGGCCTTAATCCAAAGTTGGTGTTGTTTCACTTACATTCTGCGATCTTCAAAGCTAGTATTTACACAAACTTCACAAAGCATTTTCACATGGATTTTCTCACTTGACAAGAGTTCTGTAAGGCAGGTAATTATTATTTTTCTCACATTACAGACAAAGAAGCTGAAAGCCTTTAAGACCAGCCTAACAAGTGTAACCTCTCTGAAGCCTCCCCGTGGCCCAATTTACCACTTCTTTGCAATGATCACTAAACTTTGTTAGTATTTTTGATTAATGGGACATATTAGTAATTTTTCCTTATATTTCTATATCTTCTAACAGTCTAAGGGAGTTTCTCAAGGACAAGAAGCAGGTCTTATTCATCTATACTTCTTCCATACCTAGCTGAGTGCCTGACACCTACTGGACGTCAAAAAATGTTGAATGAATGAAGAAACAGATGAACACACATGCTGAGTGTAGGCTGATGGTGGAACATACAGGTGATATCCAGCAGAAAAGGTCATCAAATAAAGTTTATACATACGTTGGACCATATAATGCTGAAACTCATTTCAAGAGAAGTTTCTACCTTGGGCAATATGATCAGTAATACCAGTGGGAGTAGATTCATTCATAGAAGCACTGAATGGAATTGGCTCATAATGAGGAAGCATCTCTTTTTCTATGTTGTCTGCGGCTGGAGACGTCACAAAAGATGAATGACCACCCAAATTTGAGTCATATTTTGACTTCTGAGAATAGTGCCTGTAAATCATATTGTATAAGAAATACAAATTATTGCCTACACCGTAAAAAAAATGTGTTACGGTATGAAAACTAGTTATCTTACTTTCTAAGGGAATGATGTAATTTTTACATGGTTATCTAGAACAGTAAAATGAAGTCTGTTTCTCTCTGCCACAAAAACCTTAAAAATAAGTTTTGACCCATTTATACAACTTAAAAACCACCACTCTTACTACAGAAATGTATATCCAATTTTCTAATTCCTAAGCTTCATATTTTTTTAAAAAAATTATTTACTTGAGAGAGAGAGAACGTGCGAGGGGGTGGGGGAAGGGGCAGAAGGAGGAAGAGAATCTCAAATAGACTCCCCACTGAACATGGATCCCAAAGCAGGGCTCAATCTCATGACCCTGAGATCATGACCTGAGCTGAAATCAAGAATCGGCTGCTTATCCAACTGAGTCACCCAGGCGCGCCACTTCAGAGATCATTTTAACAAGTTTAACGTCCTTGGAGGTGTGCCTAGGTGGCTCAGTCGGTTAACTGTCTGACTCTCGGTTTTGGCTCAGGTCATGATCTCAGTCAGGGCCATGGAATTGAGCCCCATGCCTGAGATTCTTTCCCCCTCCCTCTCCCTCACTCTCTGCTCCTAGCCCCCGCTTGCTGGCGCACACTCTAAAATAAATAAATAAATAAAATCTAAAAAAAAGGTCCTTGGAAAGAAAAAAGTATTTCAAATCAGAAAGTATGTTCAGTTCCCACATTAAGGGAAGTTACTTCCACAGCTAGCAGGCCATAAACCCTATTTTGCTAAAGCAGATATATAAGTAATACTAGCTTTTGTGGGGTTTACCATTTATAACAATTTATCTATTAAATCTACTAAATTACATTATTACTTATCTACCTATCCAAATGGACAGATTCATTTATTTATACTTACATAATTAAAATAAAAATTTGGAGAATATACTTAAAATAAGGATTAAAAGGTTGAAATTTAAGAGATGGGACTGATAAAATTTGGGAATTCAAAAGAAAAGTCTAAAATATAGTACTCAAAGGTATTTGCCAAATTAAAATCCTTTATTCTGGTATAAGCACTCCTAACAGGATGCTACTCTTTATTTAAAACAAAAATAGGGGGCTGCCTGCGTGGCTCAGTCGGTTAAGCGTCTGCCTTCAGCTCAGGTCATGATCTCAGGGTCCTGGGATCGAGCCCTGTGTCGGGCTCCCTGCTCAGCCAGGAGCCTGCTTTTCCCTCTCCCCGCACCCAGCTCGCGCTCTCTCTCAAATACATAAAATCTTAAAAATAAATAAATAAATAAAAATAAAACAAAGGTAGGAGTGCCTGGCTTGCTCAGTTGATAGAACATGGCAGCTCTTGATCTTGGGATCCTGAGTTCAAGCCCCAAGTTGTGGGAAGAATTTTCTCAAATAAATAAATACAAATAAATAAAAATAAACCAAAGGTAGGCATATTTTACTCCACTTTTTAAAACAAAATAACTTTAGCTTGTTGCAAAACGGAGTTTCCAACAGTCCCTCAGGTTACACAATGTTTCATGCCCTGAATTATAGCAATATCCAGTTACAATTTTTTTAGCTAAAATTAAAAACCTTCAATAAAAATCAGAATTTGGCCTACCCAGATGGTGAAGATCGCCGTGCCTGTCCTGAGCGTAAAGCTTCTCCCAGAGGGGAATTCTCAAGATTTCTGAACTTCTCTTGGCAAGTTTTCACGTAAGAAAGCTTTCCAGCAAAGTATCCCATGATACAAGCAACTTATTTGTAAAAACAAACAAAAAATGTGACTCAGTGTGCCCATTTAAATAAAAATCTCTCCTAAAAGAAGTTTTTAAGAAATGTGTTCTTGAACAGGTCTTTATATGGGAAAACTGATCATTTCCTGAAATAATGGTAAAAGTACCATATTAAATCAGATTCAGAGTACACAGAAAGATTCTGTAGATATAATTCACTTTCACAAAATAAAATAATCCAAAATAAAACTGCTCCATGATATATAAATTCCACTTTACTAATTATTAATATAGACAGGAAAGATGTGGTAAAGGAATTAAAAGAGTTCTAGCCTAGTCACAGGGATTTCAGGCCACTTCTTTTCCTGTAAAACGGGAATCATACTATTTGCCCAGCTAATTTCATAAGCCTGTTTTTAAAATTAGGTGCAACAACAACGTGGATGGAACTGGAGAGTGTTATGCTGAGTGAAACTCAATCAGAGAAAGACATGTATCATATGACCTCACTGATACGAGGAATTCTTAATCTCAGGAAACAAACTGAGGGTTGCTGGAGTGGTGGGGGGTGGGAGGGGTGGGGTGGCTGGGTGATATAGACATTGGGGAGGGTATGTGCTATGGTGAGCGCTGTGAATTGTGCAAGACTATTGAATCACAGATCTGTACCTCTGAAACAATACATTATATGTTAAAAAAAAAAAAAAGATAGCAGGAGGGGAAGAATGAAGGGGGGGAATCGGAGGGGGAGATGAACCATGAGAGACGATGGACTCTGAGAAACAAACTGAGGGTTCTAGAGGGGAGGGGGGTGGGAGGATGGGTTAGCCTGGTGATGGGTATTAAAGAGGGCACGTATTGAATGGAGCACTGGGTGTTATAAGCAAACAATGAATCATGGAACACTACATCAAAAACTAATGATGTAATGTATAGTGATTAACATAATAAAAAAAATTAGGTGCAACAAATTCCTTAAAATAATGAATTATGACGTGGTACCTGAATGTGGCTACTGTTGCCTTATGTGTTTATTTTCAGTATACAAGAGAGGCTAACCTGGAAACACTCAAAGTCTCGGGTGCTCTTTTTTAAAGCAATTTAGCTTCTTCCCTATAAACCATACTATAATATGTAGATAAATTATGCTTATTTACATTTTAACATGTAAAGAGATTTTTTAAAGTTAGACTTAATTTTAAAAGACATCTTACTTCCCTATATCTGGACAATTTTCTTTCCTCGCAAACCAGAGAATTTATTTTAAAATACTATGTATTTTTACAAATTATTTAAAAGTAATCGTTTTATTAAAGAAAAAAATTATCTTTCAAATAATTTGTAATTCTTAATGCTAACAATAAAATGCCCAAGTAGTTGACTAGTCCATTTAATGAAAAGCTTAAACAAGCTGGTCAAAACAAATAACCAAATAACAGTTATGAGTTAGACAAGACAAAACATTTGGTAAAAATGAATTACTTCACTTAGGTAAGAAAGCGAGTGTTGTCCATACTCACATATAAGTTTAGGGATGGAACCATATTTGGGATGACTTGAAAGGATTCCTAAAGATAAAAGAGTAGATATTTCAGAGTCAGACTATGAGAGATAGATACATTTAAATAATTAAGATGTCTTATCTTTTTTTAAAATAAAATAGGATTGGGGCGCCTGGGTGGCTCAGTTGGTTAAGCGGCTGCCTCTGGCTCAGGTCATGGTCCCAGGGTCCTGGGACAGAGCCCCACATCGGGCTCCTTGCTCAGCAGAGAGCCCGCTTCTCCCTCTCCCTCTGCCTGCCGCTCCCTCTGCTTGTGCTCTCTCTGTGTCAAATAAATAAATAAAATCTTAAAAAAATAAATAAAAATAAAATAGGCTTATGCCAAGTTTATGCTAAAAGCATATAAGGGGGCGCCTGGGTGGCTCAGTCAAGTGTCTGCCTTCTGCTCAGGTCATGATCCCAGCATCCTGGGATCGAGCCCCGGGCTCTCTGCTCCGCGGGAAGCCTGCTTCTCCCTCTCCCACTCCCCCTGCTTGTGTTCCTGCTCTCGCTATCTCTCTCTCTGTCAAATAAGTAAAATCTTTAAAAATAAATAAATAAATAAAAGCATATAAGAAAATGACACAAATTATGGTAAAAAGTGCAAGAAAACTATTTCTGTGAGCTATAATCTAGTCTCTTCTGTGAGACAAAAGTAGTAAAAAGTCTAGCAATGCAATATAAAAATATATTTCTCAGCAGCTTTGGGAAACCCACAAAGACAAAAGGAAAAATCAGTACAGACTATAAGTATTACCTGACTACATTAGCTCTTTCCATTACCTCAGCAAAGTCTAAAGCTACAGCTATTTAAAAGAGAGAACCAAGTAAATTCAACATCAACAAAAAAATGAAGAAAATCCAAAAGACTCTACAATCTATTAGGTGAATTTAGCAAGATCACTTGACACAAGGTCAATATACAAAAAGAAAAAAAATAATTCCTGTATACCAGAAACAAACTTTTTTGAGAGATATAATTTATTATAGCACCCAAAAACATCAAAGATCCAGGAGCAATCTAATGAAAAATATGAAAGATCTGTACACTGAAAAGTACAAAACTTACTGAGAGAAATGAAAGCTAAGTGGAGGAATAATACATCCATGTCCATAAAAGGAAAGACTACATACTGTATGACAATTCTCCATAAATTCATCTTTAAATTCAATGCAATCCCAATTAAAAATCAAAGAAAGTATTCCTAAAAGTTGAAAAACTTATTCCAACTTATTCTAAAAATCATGTGGAAATACAAAGAGCTGAGAACCAAGGCAATATTGAAAAACAACAAAACTGAAAAACTGACTACCAACAAATATTGAGATCTATAATAAAGCTACAGTAATTATGACTGTTCTAAGTGCAAAAACAGATAAGCCCATCAAAACCAGAAGAGAGTCAAGAAACAGATCCACACACAGTCACTTATGACAAATGCAACACTGCATGCAATGAACAAAGACAGTCCTTTCAAAATATGGCGCTGGGTCACCTCATATCCGTAAGGGGGAAAAATGTACCTTTATCCTACCTCATACAACACCTCAGAAATACTGCAGGTTCGGTTCAAGAGCACCACAATAAAGGGAGAATCACAATAAAGAAAGTCAAATGCATTTTTCTCTTTCCCAGTGCATATAAAAGTTAGGTTTATGCTATCCTGTATTAAACACGCAACAACATTGTCTAAAAAATAAAAACAATGTACATAATTACTTTACTGATAAGAAATGCTAACCATCATCTGAGCTTTTAGAGAGTTGTAATCACTGATCACAGACCACCATTACAAATATAGTAAGTAGAACATTTACTGTGAAAATTGCCAAAATGTGACACAGAGACACGAAGTGAACAAATGCTATTGAAAAAATGGCACCAATGAGACTTGTTCAAAGCATGGTTGCCATAAACCTTAGATTTGTAAAAACCACAGTATCTGTGAAGTGCAATAAAGCGAAGCACAATAAAAAGAGATATACCTGTATTCAAAAACAATTCCAAATGACTTGAAAATTTAAGTATGAAAGAAAAAATAAAGCTTATAGAAAAAAACGTAACAGAGTCTTCATATCCTGTTAATAGACAAATATTTTAGAGCATAAAAAGCCTTCATCATAAAAAAATATGATAAATTTTACTCTATCATATTAAGAACTACAGTTAATCAGTGGGAAAAAATAATCACAATACATAATATCTGACAAAAGACTCACTTCTAGAAGATATAGAAAACCCTCACAAAACCAACAGAAAAAGACAATCCAATGAAAATGGACAACAGACCTGAACAGACACTTCGCCAAAAAAGAATATATTCAAGTGAGCTATAAACAAAAGAAAAGGCCCTCAACTTCATTAGTTATTGGGGAAATGCAAATTAAAACCACAATCAGTATTACTGTTCACTCACCACAATGGCTAAAATTCAAAGGACATGAAAAGAGCAAGTGTTGGTTATAATGTGATACAACCAGAACTCTACTAATAAATTGGTATGAGAGTGTAAATTGGTCCAAACAATTTAGAAAGTTTGGCAGTATCTACCATAGCTGAAAATATACATAATCTATGACCCGGCAAAATGTCTACCAAAAGATGCTGTATTCATAGCAGAACCCACTTGTAATAGTCAAAACTGGAAATTACCCAATTGCCAATGTACAACAGGATGGATAAACTGCTGTGGTATATTTACACAACAGAAAACTGTATGGTAACAAGAATATATAATCTATAATTACATGCAACAATGTGGATGAATCTAGTGATGTGCTAGAAAACCAGCTCTCCAAATAAAAAGCTGATTTGTAATGTCGGTCGATTTCCATGGAGAAAGTACTTGCACCATGACCAATTCCAAGCTATCAATGTTTAAACACTGGCTTGCCAAGTTGTTGAAAACTGAACAATCAGCTTTCTGGAAGTGGTACAAGCCAGTTCTAGCATACCACTGGATGAATCTTACAACATTCAAAGAGGGTATACAAAAGAACACTTAATTGTAGGATTTCATGTATATGAAATATAAAAAGAGAACTAAGTTATGCTATTAGCTTTAGTTACACAACTGAAATGAGAAAAAGGAAGATGGTAACAATATCTACCTTCATTCAAAAGAACTGTTCCGTCATTCTATCACCAAGTAGTTACAGATCACTTATATAGACACTACATACTAGAAAGTAGGAATATAACAGTAAACAAGATGTTCTCTTTAGCTCTCACAGAGTTATTACAGTTATAGCCTGTTTCCTAAGAGGAAGTAGCAAGAATAGAGGCAAATAGACTTGTTGAAGGCTAATTTAATACTCTTGGCAACAGATGGTTGCATTAATTACAGTGGCAGTGCAGATGGAGGTAGAGAGTTTACAGAGATATTTAAGAGATGGACTAGAATGAACATTCATTGGGTAAGGCAAATAAGGGGTAGAAGTTAAGGATAATGCCTCAGTTTCCTAGATGAAGAGTGCTACCATCAGACATGTGGACAACAGAGAAACTGGTCTGGAGGGAAATGAACTCAGTTTGGGATGAAGTCAGTTTGAAGAGTTTCTAAGGAGGGCCACTCATGTGAAGATATGCAGAATATGGTTCTGGAGGAGATATGAAGGCTAGCAATAATTTTCATGGGGGTTTAGAGCAATAAATGGTCCTGAAGCCCATTATCACTGGTAATAGTTTACACAGACTGAAGACTGAAAAGTCAAAGCAGAACTCTGAAGAACACAAGTGGAGGATGAAAACCCATATTAGAATATTAAGTACCAACAGCTTAAGAATTTTTGTCTGTGTTATCTACCAAAAACAGTGTATAGTACATATTAGACACTCAGAAAACATGAAAAAATGGAGGAATTGCCAGCGGCAGGAGAAAAACCAGAATATGCTGTCATGGAAGCTAGGGGAAGAGAACGGTTTCAAAGACTGGTTAAAGTCGTATAACCATCAAGAACACAAACTGCCCATCGAATTAAGCAACAAGGAAGTTGTGTTGGTAATCTTTTAAAGTGTTGGCAAATGTCAGAACATATGCATAATCTTTTCACACAGATTGTAATGGGTTAAAAGGAGTAAAAAGTGAAGTGGTCATTCGTGAAGTCTGGCTTCAAATGCAAGACAGCTGGGACGAGTTGGAAAGGGATATGAGGGAAGATTTTTCTTTTTCATGTTCTCAAGTTAGAACAGACCTGGGCATGTTTAAATGTTTAACAAGTAGTGATGGAGCAGCTAAGACTATGTTGAGTATGACAAACTGTGGATGAAAGCATATACAAAATATCAGGCATTCTGATTAAATGCAAAATGTCTTGGTGGACTCTGAATTCCTTTTCTAAAGTCTTCCCAATTTCTTTTTTTGAGACTGACTTTATTAGAACACTGTACCCAAAACAAATCCTCAATACAACTAACAATAAAACCCCTTAGTCCTGGGAAATAGTTACATGAATAACATATCATTCAATATTCTTTTTTATATTTTTATTCCAAATTATCAAAACCCCAACATTAACAACTCTGACAGAAGTTATTATAATAAGCATTCTTCCATAAACTAGGTTAAGTCACTTTCAGCAATTCTTTCTAAAAAACGTAGGGGCACCTGGGTGGCTCAGTTTGTTAAGTGTCTAACTCTTGGTTTCCGTTCAGGTCATGATCTCAGGGTCATGAGATCAAGCCCCATGTCAGGCTCTACACTGGGTGTGGAGCCTGCCTAAGATTCTGTCTCCCTCTCCCTCTGCCCCTCCCCTCCACTCGCATGCACACTCTCTAAAATAAATAAAATCTTTTAAAAAATAATAAAAATAATTAAAAATGGATTACTGAATTCTACCGTTAAGGCTCCAGGATGAGATCTTACAATTACAAAGGAGCACTTTGGAACAGTATTATTGATCATGGTATGACTTTTGCAAATGAAATCACAGAGGCATAGTGCCATTAATGACAAGTCAAATAATCACCAAAAGGTGACTAAGAATCCAGGAAGAATTTTAACTGTAAGAAAAATTTGCCTCCTCAATTACAAGTTCTAACATTTTCAGCGGGATTCACCCTATCCAAGAACAAGTCTATCACGATATATCTGCGACTAAAAAAAGGGAATTTCTGCTTCAGTTATGTGTGTAATTAGTTATGTAGGAGCAAGGCACTGTAATAGTCACACCAACAGAATTTGGGACAGAAAGTGTCCCCAACCCTCTTACTATAAGACAAAGCTCTGGTTTAAGGAGCTAGGGAGCTACTGATCTTTAAACCAGTGCATTTAAGAATCACCTGGAGCCTGTTAAAACAGATTCCTAGGCTCTACCTCAGAGACTGATTAAGGAGTTCTGGGATGGGGCCCATGAATTTGCATTTCTAACAAGATCCTAGGTAATAGTGATGATGGCCTTCCTAGACCAGTTTTTTTCCTCTACCTCCCTGCAAAACCTCTGTAGGTTTTTAGCTACTTTTTTGCTCTTGTTGATTGTTAATGTTGCTACAGTGTCAGAGGACATCAAATTCTCAAGTCAATATATCTGAGTCAGTGGGTCCATGGCGACATAACTCTCCTTATGTTGTAGAACCGTATCAATGGTCATGTTTAATATGATACATTATTATACTTTATCTAAAAATCAGGAAAACATAAAAATATAATGATATCCAAAATGCCAAATAAATTTGAAGTTTAAATATTTACCTTTACTAATCAATCCTTGAGTAATCAACATACTTGTTGCAGCCAAAGGAACAGCTAAAGGAGGAAAAAGAACTTGTCACCATCAACAAAAGGAAAAGATTTTGTCTGAGTTCATTAGGATAAATATGTGTATAACCATCTAGGAAGATCTTTTAAAAGAGATTTTCCCGGGTTGCCTGGGTGGCTCAGTTGGTTAAGCATCTGCCTTTGGCTCAGGTCATGATCTCAGCGTCCGGGGATCAAGCCCCACATAGGGCTCCCTGCTCAGCAGGGAGTCTGTCTCTCTCTCTGCCCCTCCCCTGTTCATGCTTTTTCTCTCTCTCAAATAAATAAAATCTTAAAAAAAAAAAAAAGATTTCTTCCATTTTTAAAAGCTGTATCATAGGGGCGCCTGGGTGGTTCAGATGGCTAAGCGTCTGCCTTCGGCTCAGGTCACAATCCCAGGGTCCTTGGGCTCCTGGCTCAGCAGGGAGTCTGTTCCTCCCTCTCCCTCTGCTCATGCTCTCTCTCTCTGCATCTCTCTGTCTCAAATGAATAAGTAAAATCTTGAAAAAAATGAAAGAAAAACTGTATTATATACAGTCAGTAGAAATATAAAAAAATTTTAAATTTAAGAGAATATTACAAATATTAAACAATGTAATTCAAGAACCATCTAGATTTGGCTTTAGAAGAGCCATTCATTAATATCACCAATAAAGACAACATACTAAATAGGGACAAAAAGTCATTTCTGAATTAGAGTAAGGGGGAATTAATGAGAGGCAAGAATTATTATTATTGTTACAAATAATAAGAGCCACTACTGAATAATTACTAAATTCCATGGCCCATGCTAAATGCCTTATGTACATTTTCTCATTTACTTTTTACCATCTCTCTAACGTAGTTATTTTTTTAATTACTGCCCTTTTAAAGGTAAGAAAATTTGCTCAAGGCCATACAGGACAGCTAATTCAATGGCAGTTCCAGATTCTAACTGATACCGTATCTCAAGCTTTTAAGTTCTGTAGTACGCTGTATGACCAAAACACAAGAAATATTTGTCCACAATTATATGGTGACAGGGGCAAGAATACACAAGTATACATTTTAAATACTAAAGTTTTTTCTTCTAAACCAGTGAATTCCTAAAACTAAGTGAAAATATTACATAATGTAACATTTGTCAACTATACTTAATTAAAAAAAAATCTACATATATACACGTTAACCCAGACTGAAAAATCCAAAGCTCTCCATCATAATCTCAAAGGAGCTCATAATTAAAAAGCACTGTTTTTTACACCAGTACTGTCCAACAGAATTTTCTGTGATGATGGGACTAGTCTGTATCCGTGTTTTCCAGTTAAGTAGTGTGCAGAAAAGATTTAAAATAAGAGCCCTGAGGCTGCTGTCCTTAAAAAAGACCTCCTGACAAGGTCCTTGGCTGATGTGTGGGAACATGACTGGTAAACAGTTCCCTACAAGTGATATAAAACTTGACCTGAATGATAAGTGGTTCACTGTGCCTAAACTGCTTACACAAATACAGCTCATGCTCAACATCTGCTTTCCTTCTGAGAGTCTGGAATTTCAGTACTTGCTAGGCTGAGTGTATGTGACCAGCCCCCAGGAAAAACCCTAGGCACTGAGTCTCCATTTAGATTCCCTGGTGAGTAACACATCACTCACATTATCAGAACCCATAGCTGGAGAAATTTACCACGTTCTTTTGTGTGTGACTCTACTAACAGAGAGTCCTTTTGTGTGTGACTCTACTAACAGAGGAGTCTTGGAAGCCTGTGCCTGGTCTCCTCTGGACTTTACCCCACATTCCTTTCCTTTTGCTGATTTTGCTTTGTATCCTTTCTGCTATAAAGTATTTTAAATTTAAATAGCTAGATGCAAGGGCGCCTGGGTGGCTCAGTCGTTAAGCCTCTGCCTTTGGCTCAGGTCATGATCCCGGGGGTCCTGGGATCGAGCCCCGCATCGGGCTCCCTGCTCCGCGGGAAGCCTGCTTCTCCCTCTCCCCCTCCCCCTACTTGTGTTCCCTCTCTCACTGTCTCTCTCTCTGTTGAAAAATAAATAAAATCTTTAAAAAATAAAAAAAATAAATAGCTAGATGCAGCTGCTACACTGGACAGCACAGTTTCAGACCAGGGGTTGGGAATACCCTATAAAGACCCAGATGGTATGGTGCGCCTGGGAGTCTCAGTCATTAAGCGTATGCCTTCAGCTCAGGTCATGATCCCAGGGTCCTGGGATCCAGCCCCGCATCAGGCTCCCCGCTCTTTTAGGTTTTGTGGGCCACAGGTCTGTCTCATCTACTCAATCGCCATTTTAAAGCAAAAGCATTGAGACAATAGTAAACAAATGAACAGATGTGTTCAAATAAAACTTTATTTATGGATGCAAAAATATAAATTTCATGTAATTTTCACGTTAACAAAATATTATTCGTTTGATCTTTTTCAACCATCTAAAAATAAAAATGTAAAAGCTATTCTTAGCTCATAGCCATACAAAAACAGATTTGGCCCTTAGGCTATAGTTTGCTCAACTCTGGTCTAGACTACAAGAGCAATTTAAGAACTAAGGTAATTAAGATGTTTGAATTATTAGAGATCTCATGATTAAAACCCATAATTTTGGAACAGGGTGGTTAGCTTTGCCATCAGACATAATCTGCAGAAACCCTAAGGTTTGAATCCTTGATCTACTATTTATGAATGGATTTTACTTTTGCTAGAAAAATGCTTCTTTAAGGTTGGTTGGTTAAAATATTTTATTACCATTTAAGGTTTTGTTTTGTTTTGTTTTGTTTTTTAAGATTTTATTTATTTTTTGAGAGAGAGACAGACACAGCGAGAGAGGGAACACAAGCAGGGGGACTGGGAGAGGGAGAAGCAGGCTTCCAGTGGAGCAGGGAGCCCAATGCGGGGCTTGATCCCAGGGTCGACCTGAGCCGAAGGCAGATGCTTAACAACTGAGCCACCCAGGGTTCTCTATCATTTAAGGTTTTTTAAAGGACGAGTCCCTTCTCATTATAGCATCAGTATAATTTGTTATCATTTTTCCCCTTCAGCTTGATTCAAGGATTTCAGCATGAGGCACTGAAGAATCATACAAGGATAAAAGGTGTTGAGTCAGTGGGCCATGTCTACAATGGACAACGCTGTTCCCATGTCACTTTGTCCTTAGGCCAAGATGGTATAATACAGAGAGTAACAATTTGGTTAAGAAGATTCTAGTACTAGTTCTGTCATTCACTACTATGTCTTTATATAGTAGTGCTTTTCCTGCTTTATAGGATAATGGATTAGAACTGACGTCTGTCTCATGTATTGTGTCACAGGAAAAGAGAACGGTAAAACTGAACAGACTTCAGAGATTATCTAGTCTTTATTCTAACCAGGGTAAACTGATATTCAGAAAAAATAAGTCATGTGCTCAAAAGCAACAGATAGGGGCACCTGGGTGGCTCACTTGGCTAAGTGGCTGCCTTCAGTTCAGGTTATGATCCCAGGGTCCTGGGATGGAGCACCACGTCAGGCTCCCTGCTCAGCGGGGAGACTTTTTCTCCCTCTCCCTCTGCCCCTCCCCCCCACTCATGCTCGCTCTCTCTCGCTCTGCTCTCTCTCAAATAAAATCTTAAAAAAAAAAAAAAAAAGGCAACATAGGTAGTTTATAGTAGAGCTGAGACTAAAACCCAAGTCTCCTGACCCCCCAGGGCCATGGCCTTTTCCACTGCAGTATGTGACTCCTATCTCAGAGTCGGTTAAATAATGTTTCTTTAGGCAAACCAGTAATACTGCTGACCAAAAGCTATTTTGCATTATGACCCCAGTCCCAACCATATCCAATATGAAGACCCCTAAAATTCCTTAAATTCTTCTCTTACAACAAAATGCTACTTTAAATTCGTAACTGTGTCCAACTGAAACTTTTATTTTGTTAATCACAGTAGCACTAATAGTCATATAACACAGACTGCTTAACACTTACAAAATAAATTGAATTAATCCCCATAATAATCCTATGAAATGAGTTGTTATCCCCATATAGCTAAGGAAACTGCGGCATACAGACATCAGGTGCTTGCCCAAAATCTGAAAGCTAAGTGATGGAGCTGGGACTTGGATCCAGACAGGCACCAAAGTCTACACTCATCAATCACTATACTGTCTCATTAGAAAACCAGTAGTACAGCAGCACCCGGCTGGCTCAGTTCAGTGGAGCGTGCAACTCTTGATCTTGAGGTTGTGGGTTCGAGCCCCATGTTGGGTGTAGAGATTACTTAAAAATAAAATTAAAAAAAAAAAA